GACCCGCGAGAAGAAGGAAGGCGATGCTAGTCGCGTACTAGTCTTAGCAGCTACCAATATGCCTTGGGATATCGATGAGGCTGCACGTCGCCGCTTCGTCCGTCGCCAGTACATCCCCTTGCCTGAACATCATGTCCGCGAGCAGCAGATCCGCAGGCTTCTCAGTCACCAGCACCACGAGATGAGCGATGCGGATATCCAGGTTCTGGTACATGTGACAGAAGGTATGTTGTTTCCTCCCCTTTTTTGGTCTGGTTCGTCTTTCTAATTAAAATACACAGGCTTTTCCGGCTCAGACATAACAGCCCTCGCTAAAGATGCGGCCATGGGCCCCCTGCGCAATCTGGGTGAAGCCCTCCTACACACACCCATGGACCAGATCCGCGCCATTATATTCCAGGACTTCGAGTCAAGTTTGTATTCCATTCGGCCTAGTGTTTCCCCCGATGGGCTCCGGAAATATGAAGATTGGGCGAGAGAATTTGGCGAGCGAGGCGGATAGAGTAGATTTGAATTTACTCATCTTGGACTTTTTGGTTCTGCTCTATTATCTCTATCCCCCCGGTCTGTGGGGAGCTTGTATGTTCGATACGATTATAGGGATGCAATAGCGATTCTTGTTTATCGTCTACATGTATTTGGCGTATTCCTCTTCCTGTTAACTCGAATGCTATATCTGCATCCTAACATGTTCTCCCGAGCGCCTAGCGCGGAGTCAATAGCACCCATTGTATTTCGGGGCTGCGTAGCTGCGGATTTTCATTGTACATTTTGATGTAAATCAAGCACAACCTGTACAGGGAATATATAGATCAACTCAGCAACACTCGGATCTCCCCTGTCGTTCGAGGGAAAAACGATCTCAAACTCCATTGCTCATCCTTACCCTCTTCTGCCTCTTCTTTATCCTTTCCGCTCACTTCTGTCTTGCCATCGGATTTACCACTCCGGCCACTAACACTGCCACCGGTTCCAATGGCCACATTGACAGTTCCTCGCGCCTCGTCGGCGGCAATGATCATGCCTTCGACGAACTCGAAATCACGGCAGAATGCCTCAACTGCATCCTCAGTGACGCTTTGAATAAGGGAGAGGCTTTGGACACGCTTAAGATTATCGGTTGCGTCCATAAGTGCAGATGGGAGGAAGTCGTCCAGTTCTTGGCTGGACGTAATTAAGGACTCTGGTTGGAAGGCTGAGAGACTGGCCAGGTCGGCTAGATGGGGTTTCTGCTGGTCTGACTTCTCGGTTTTGTCTTCGGCGGTATCTGAGAAAGGTTGTAGGACATCTAAGAGCTTTTGGAGACCAGACGTCTCGAGGAGGAATTGGTGTTGCGTGTCGAGAAGATCGCTGCGTAGGGTTGATAGGGCTGCAGAAATAGGAGGGACGTGTGTGCAGCTGGCGAATGGGAATGGCGACACAGCTGCCCGGGCTGCAAGGAGTATATTGGTTCGGTAAATGGACTGCGCTGTTGTGGTCTGGAGTTCATCGGATGAGGACCGGGCCAGTGTCAAGAATGGATCGAAGGCGGCCCGGAGGACAGAAGTGAACGGGTTCTCGTTGTTCGCGTCTGCAGACGGATCTTCTGGTCCGACGGAAGTCTCATAGCTCTTCATCAGTAATTCCAGGCCTTCCAATGCATCTAACAAGAACTGTGGGGGCGATAGGTCGTCTGGCGGAGTCAGGGCAATATTGTCGCCCGCCAAGGCGCTGATCTGGTCGCGCATCAAAGTCTCAAAGTGGCCAAGAGTGAACTTTTCCAAGCTCTGGATCAGGTCAACCAAGTGGGATTGTGCGCCCACTAGTTTGGTGAAGGTTGTGCGGTAAAAAGACAGCAAGTTCACCACCTTGTAGCAAGTAATAGGGTCCTCATGGCTTTGGATGACGAGCTCTATTCTCTGCCGCAGTGATCGAGATACTCCAGTAAGATCGCGGTTGACCAAGTCACTGAGTGCCTTTTGGCCATCAAAGGCAACTTCTTGGTCCTCATCGATGCGCGACCAAGGCTCGCTATTCAGGCCTGCCTGAATCCCCCGAGCGAGTTCGTCCCCATCATCAACAAACAGCGACTCGAGAGCCTCTCGCTCTGATACAGTTGTCGAGTGCACCCACGCAAGCATGTCACCAATGTACCGTAGTGGGTCATGTGCTGAGAACTCAATCGGTTTGACAGTGTGATCACCGGCGCCGAGCCCATTGGCCCCGGAAACAGCGTCAGTCAGCGCATAGTGGAATGCATCGGACAGCACATAGTCCCGTGCCTCCGCAAAGAAATCCAAACAGCTGTGGAATAGACTCGGGCGTTCGGCAAGCACCCGTAGAGCGCGGCGGATCGTACTACTAATGCGAGGGTCCTCTAGATTCAGGGACCTGAATTCTTTCTGGATCCATCGGTAGAGTTTCTGGTATGCTGAATTGAGGTTCCGGGTGCTCAATTCCATCACTTCCAAGCCCAGCCGTTGATTCTCGCCGCCGAGCAAGACTTCGCAATCGTGGTGCACCTGCTTGACACGAGCTAGCACGTCAAAGAACCGCTCGTCAACGGGCTCCTCTGGCGATGTCAGGACTAATAAATCCTCTTCCGGAACCAAGAAATGTTTCGAAAAGGCTTCCAACAGCTGCTGTTTGGTCTCGGTCTCTTTCTTCTGTGCCATCAGAGCGCTAGCCTCCTCGAGTACCGGCGTAGTATCCTGCTTCGCGAGGTTGATTCGTTTGCGCATATCTTCGCATGTCTGATTAAGTGTCGAGACCACGGTTCCGATTCGTCTCAATTGCTGTAATTGACATTCAAGAATTAGAGTTCCGGAGCCCTATCTCTAAAAGAGCAATAGGAGTCTCACCTCTGCCACTTTCCCAAAGTCTTTGACAATCTCCGCATTGCAATCGACAACTTCCTTTTGCACATCTAGTCGTAGTTGCCGGCGTGTTTCTGCAGTGTTGTGTACGCCCCTCAAGCTCAAAGTCTCGAGGGAGTCCCGAATGTCCGAGTCCGCATACGATGCCGACAGAACCGTTGTCAACCGATTGGTGAGTGCGGTCGGGCGCTGCGTTAGCGGGGATAATGGAGACGATGCGGTCGGCGTACTGGCGCAATTACTGGCGCTGCCACTTGGTGGAAAGTAGCTGGTCATTGTTGGTCCAGCAACCCGGGGTGTAAGCGAGGGGAAGTAGAGGACAACCTCGCACTTGGCGCATCGACCGCCTTCGCCGTATCTTATCGTCAACACATTACTCTATTTATTTTCCCCTCCTGCTTTGTCTCAATTCATTTATTTCTGGAATTGCATTGCTACTTGATCCCATGGATAGTCCACTCGTTTCGCCGGCTAAGGCCCGCCAGGCTGCTATCCAAGCTAAAGATTGGGCGTACGTGAACTCCTGGCTCAATCGACAATACGCGCCCAAACCTGTCCCCAAGTTCGAGCGCAACGAAGATACCCTCCGCGTCCTCCTGACCCTAGCTGCAGCCAATGATGCTGCAGATGAAGAAGACACTTTACAACATTGCGCGCGCGAAGAAGCTGTCGAGGCATACAAACTACGGGAAGAGTTTGAACGCAAAGATCCCCACGAACAACAGAAGAATCAACTCCTTGATGAAGTGGAGATGTGCTTGGATGATGCAGGAAGACGCGATCTAGAGGACCTTGCCGACTCCGCTGCAGCTCTAGGCAATACCTTAAATCCGAACCCGGGGGAACTGGGGCAGTCGATTGTGGAGCTCACGGTGGAGGAGTTCGATGCCCAGGAACAAATGGCAAAGGTCGACACATTGCATCGGTACCTTCAGCGAGAGCTAGCACGGCTACAGACGGAGCTTGAGGAATTGAAGACCGATGTGGCGTATGAGACACCGCCCGAAACACAAAGCTTGACGTCGGAGTGGACACGCGGCACGAAGACACTTGCGATCAAGGTCGGGGAGTACCAAGATCGCATTGCATCACTAGAAAAAGTCCAGCCCCGGGGCCCGACTATTGAGGAGCTGATAGCGGAGGAGGAGAATGTTATCAGGATGCGGGAGACGGTCAAGGCTCTGCAAGGCCGAGTGAGGGCGTTCCATGATTTCCCCAAGGATACGCCAGGGGCACGGGCGAAGTATAAAGAGCTAGAGCGTGAGCTTGGTCAACTTAAGCGAAAACGAGATTCAATGGCAGTATAGGCGACCGGTACTAGAGCCAGCTCTCTACCTCATTTAGCGTTTAGAAGGACTAATGTCACTGGTTGGTTTTCACTTCCAATCTGTTCTTAACTCCCCTATAGGCAATAGGGCTGTAAAAATGCTTGGAGCATCCAAATACACTTAAACAAACGCTACGAGGGCTTTTAGGGACCATCACTACAGACGGTCCAATTGCTATGTACTGCCTTCATCGCCTTGGTCATTTGCCTTCCACTCGACTTATACCTACGTAGTATATAAGAATAGTTAGTTAGCTGCTTATACAGCCTTGTTATGTTTGTTTTGGTAGTCTTTCTAGTAGTCTTCTACATGACCTTCTTAGATGCTTCCCTGGACCATTTTATATTTACATATTTTCTTTCCTCTATTGGTGCTATAGCTAGAAGGATAAGAAGAATTAGTTATCACGGTCTGTCACATACTCTCATGAGAGTTGGAAATCACATGACCATTTCTATCACATGTTTGGTTGTTACGTGAGCCCATCCAGGAGCAACTAAGCCTAATTGGGAATAAACAATAACAGGCGGTCAACAAGACTTGGCAGAATTATTCACCGCCTCCGTCACCCCTCGGGCATCAACTGTAGTCGTCCATCTCCGACCAACTTGTTTGCTTCCATTCCTCATCCTTCCGTTCTGACTCACTATGTGGATAAGATCTGTTCTTCTTCATGCATCATTGTCTCATTCTCCGTGACTATCAACCTGATCGTTATCCTGGTGACAACACTTTGAATTTATCGTTCTTTCATTTGCTACCATCCAAACAACACACGAAACTGTTACACCGTTACACCTGTCTCATCTAGCGGTCAATGACTGTGTCGGATCCCCCTATCCCTTCAAATTGGGATTTCACTCCAGTGCTCGGCCTACTGCGGTCGCCTATCGAGGGCTGCACTGCGAGACCTAGTCGCCACAATGAATCTGCAATCCCCTCGCTTGGTGAACAAGCCAAGGATAATCCCCGTTACACCACTAATGACAGGCGCCTTATCTCTCAGCGGAGTAACCCGAAGCTTGGTGACTTTGGTTCTCTATGGGAGCTTTTCAATGGGTCCCCTGCTCCTGCAAGCGTCACGCCAACTTTAGGGACCACAAGGACCACCAAGTCTGAGCTGGAGAAGCTTCAGCCATCACTTCAAGAACTGCTTTCTAGCTCAGAGGAAAGACCTGCCAAAATTGTCTCATTCTCTGGCCTCTCTGGCATCGAAACGTCCGTCACCGTTACATCTAACACCTCTTGCATCACCAATGAGCCAAATTCTCGGGTCCTCAAGGACGAAGGAATAGCCACTGGCTATACCTCCCATTATTCTTCTCACCCGAAAGCAGATACGACAGGTATTCCTATCGATTTCGAGGGTCGATCATTCACTATCTTGAGGCGGACCTCTGTTCATGAGCCTTCTGGAGCGAATTCCCATGTGAGATTTGGCATTCCACCCACTCCCCCGGAGACTATTGCTAGAGCTAGAGTTGGTGATCCAAGTGATACTCCCACGGCGAAACCCAACTCTCGGTCTCGTGGAAAAGATTTCCAGGAGAACACGCGCAATAACCCAGTCACTTCCGAAGAAAGTGCTGGGCTAGACTCGGACACAAGCATTGTGTTCGATCATCCCGTTTCTGAGAAAACCGTGGCCATTCCATTTGTCCCACCTCAAGTCGGCGCACCTGAAGCGAAGACTCACCATTATGATACCCCGCCGTCTTCATTTGATGATAATGACTGGATACTGACTGCCGATACCATCCGAGGACTTGCTTCTGGAGGTACTCGTGTGCGGTCTACCCTGCACCAATCGGCCACGGAACGAAGAGTTACCTTGATGAGCAGACTCCTCGGTCATTTTCCTGATTACGCCAAAGTCGTGTATCAAGTGGGACTGACTTTAGACCGTCGTCCTAATGAGGGTATTAGCTCACGTCCTATTCATGTATTTGTTGATGTGTCAAATGTATGCTTTTAGTCCCCCCCTCTACCCAACACTTCTCAAGCTAATTCACCGTAGATTATGGTCGGATTTCACGATTCGGTGAAAGCCTCGCGAAATATCCCTCTCTCGGCCCGAATTCGTCGTGTCCATATGTCCTTCGCCAACCTCGCATTGATCATGGAACGTGGCCGCCAGACCGCCAAGAGAGTCTTGGTCGGCTCAGATCGTCTTCCCTCCGTCGATGAAGCCGAGAGACTCGGCTACGAAACGAGTATCCTCGAACGTGTGCAGAAGGTGAAGGCGATCACGCCCCGTCGCAACAGCAAGTCGCGGAAGAATATTGTCTCCAGTTCCCAGGGTGGATCTAGCGGTCCTGAAACGGTCGCCGCCTCTGGAGAGCGATGGGTTGAGCAAGGTGTGGACGAAATTCTACACCTGAAGATCCTGGAAAGCCTTTTGGATACGGAAGACCCGGCGACGATTGTTTTGGCGACGGGGGATGCGGCAGTAGCCGAGTTCTCCGGCGGTTTCATGAAGATGGTCGAGCGGGGGCTACAGCGCGGTTGGAATGTCGAGCTTGTCAGCTTTTCTCAGGGCACTAGCTACGCATACCGGAAGAAGGAGTTCCGGATTCGGTGGGGAGACCAATTCAAGCTGGTTGAGCTGGACCGGTACCTGGAGGAACTGTTTGAGTGAATGATGAAGCCTGACTCCGCTCTCAAACAGATATTTACCCTGCCATTTGAATTTCAATGAAACCAAGACACGTATCAGCTATGATGACTCAAATCCTTTAAATCCGTGACTCAAACGTCGCTTAATGTAGCTCGTAGTCGTATATTGAGTCAACCCCCCGCCAAATCGCCAAACCGCCAAACGTCATCGGGCGGAAAACATCCGTCCGCACCTGCTGCCTCATGCGACGTCTGCTGGTCTACCTAAGCGGATTCTCCATCCATTCTGGAACTATATAGTCCCTGTTAATCTGTGCTCCTCTCCGGTGTTGCTTGTCTTCTTTTGTATTGTCGAACTTCGAGCAAAAAAAGGGACCGGCGAAAAAATCCGCAATCTATCTCGAAGAATTTGGATTTGCTCTTTCACAACCAGCAGAACATCTTTTCAAGAAGAAAAAGAGAAAAGAAAAAGACAAACATTCTCCGTCTTACAATCAAGACATATAAACTCCAACATGTCTCAATTCACAGAGCAAGAGTTCTTCGGCGGAGCCATTCGAGGCGTTGTGCCACAAGGCTGGATTGATGCGAGGTTAGTATACAACCCTCCTATGCATGAATTTCCCATTTTATTCCGTCAATCCAATCCCCATCCAATCCCAGAGCATCCCAATCAAAAAGGAACCCAACTAACACCTAACCCCAGTACTCTCCGCGAGGTCCCCGACCACCAAGAGCTCTGGCTCTCACCGACCACTCTCTCCAATCTAATCATCGAAATCAACCAGCGCGTCCCCCAAGCCGAAGCTCTAAGCACCTTCGCCGCGCTCGACCACCAGCAACCAACCACCGCCCCAGGCAGCGGCAGCGCAGCGTCCGCAACGGCAGAAACAGTCGACCAAGCCGCTGCCCTGTATCACCTGCACGATCTCTGCGACGAAGGCGACACCATGCAGGTGATCACGTCGCCCACGCGCGTCGAAGTCCAGCTTACTTCTTCTTTGCCGTCCCCTTCCGCTATCAAGGCATATCGCGGCGTTGTCTCCTTCACGACGCCGGCGCGCGGTGGCGGTGGCCGTGTCCCTGTCTCTGGTGATGGGTCGGCTGCTGGTGTTTCGGATTCCGGGGTGCTGGGTGCGCAGATGAATGGGGTTTCTAGTGGCTTGCCGCAGGTTTCCAGGTTGACGTGTCATTTCTTGCTTGTTAGACTTGAGGCGCAGGAGACGGATTTGTTGGTCTTCTTTAATGTGCCTCATGAGGAGTTTGATAAGAGTGGGGATCCTAGGGGTTTGTCGCGTGAAGAGATTGTTGCTGAGGAGACTATTGAGGCTTCGATTGGGAGATTGCAGATTTGTGATTGGGGTCTCTTTGTTTAGATTTATGGGTTCGGAAGATGGTGCATTGGGATTGGGATTTTATTGGGAGGATATGGCTGTAATAGCCGGGGGCTTGGGGTATGGACCAAGTGCCATTTGTGTGCTTTGAGACGAGTAGATAGAAATAAAAAGTTGACTTTCAAGTTAGCTCTTTTTGAAGATTGCATAGGTGTGTGCTAATCTATGTATAAATCTAAAGTTCTATTGTGGTATAGTGCTATCTAGTATGTCTCTATAGATCTAGTCATTTTATAGTCGACTCTCATATATCCATCATTGGCATTGAAGTCCATTCCGTTGATTCATTGGGCTCTTCAGAGACGCATCTTTCGCACTGGCACACAAAACGGAACGATTTCCGAAGATGCTCGCGACGCGAAGCAAGATCCGTGTATTGTGTCAGGTCGAAGTACGAGATGCAGCATTCCTCGCCCGGAAAAATGTCGCGGGAGGCGGTAAACACCATGCGGCCTTTGTCGTCGGCTTTATGGATGACCTGAAGGTGAATTAGCTTCACGAATTTAACGGGGAAGAATTCCACTTACATTTGGCAGACATGAATGATTAGCTATTGCCGCAGTGGGATAAACAGCAGCGGCGAATTGCTCCCCTCTGTCGACAGGAGGGTTCGGCAAGGGAAAATGGCCTGTTTCACGTGGGTAAAGACCAAATGAATTTGCCTCTTCCTGACAAATGAGATGAAGAACACGACCTGCACTCATGTTATGAGGGAGAACAGAACTACTCCTCAGATACTTCTTCACAAGAATAGACCAAGATCGGACTTTATCATGAGGCCAAGTATCCTCGGAACCACAGAGCGATTCAATCCCACTCCAGCCATGCTTCCAATGCCCAGTCGACTCGACAACACCAACATCCGTCCGCTCCTGCAATTGACAATGTCGCGCAGCAAGCAATCGAAGAATCACCCACAACATGCCGAAATCATATTCACTCCATTTAGACCGAATAGTACCCGCATACCGTTTGAGCCAAGCGCATTCAAAATCATGTCGAATACTGTCAGCGTCGCGACATGTGCTGCCGCACCACGCCACATCCGGGATACAGGCATTCGGACATGGAGTCCGGGTGTGGCGAGGTGCCGGCCGATTACAAGCGGGATTGCTGCAGATGAGATTGTCGTTGTGGGCGGGTTCGTCGACGACGGGGATAACTGCGTAGGGGGTGTCCACGAGGAGACAGGTGCCTTTGGGGATCCGACCGGAAACGCGAAATTGGCGGCCTTTGATCGCGTCGGTGCTTTCGATTAGCTGTGGGTGGATCCAATCGGGTTGCGTCTGGGTGATTCCTTTTACATGAATCCGGTCTGAGGGTTCTGTGGTGATATATACAACAGACATGGTTGAGGGTTTTTACGATCTTTGCTCATTTTTTCAATTCAATTCAGGAACCGGATCTTAGCTTGTGGGTCGTTTTTATTCGCCTCCCGACTGTAAGGCCAGTGAGGTTATTCCAAGCGAATGTGAATGATTGGGGGCCCACACACGAGTATAGATCCGTTGATTTTATTGGAGGGCCTTTTAAAGCAGGTTTAATCGATCCACTTTAGATATAGACTTGATTCAGGCCTTAGAGCAGTACGGAGTACATAGTAGTTTGTTATATGAGCTATATATATCTATGCAGTTCTCCACTTCTCCAATTGTATAGAACTTTCAGTTATTTTCTATATAAAACAGATAGTTGATAGACAGGCTTCAGGTAGCTTATAAGAGAACATTCAACTTTTCAACAGACAACCCTCAGCCCCTGTAGAGTAGCGGTGTAGCCCTATGCCCAATGCTTTGTGTATACCCCCAACTTCGATGTTATTATTCCTCTCCCATTTCGTTACTTTCTATTTTCCATCTCTTTGGTGCACCATCTCAAATGCGCAAAGATCCTCCAATATACATCCTCGGCCGCATGTTTTCCCACAATAGGATCAAGATGCCCGTACCCCTCGACTAGGAATCTGCGATAAAGTCTCTCGCCAAATTTCCGTCGCAACAACTCATAGTCCTTGAGGGTAGACTCAGGATTGAATACTTGATTCTCCGTACCCGAGACAAAGAGGATCGGTAACCCTTGCAGCCGTTGCAAATTCTCCACTGTCAGAAGAGGACATAAATCATTATCCATGCATATCCCCCGAGTTCCCATGCGAACCACTTGCTTCATAAGCTTTGTATGGGTTCCCGCGAAAAATTGGTGGATATTGTCATGAAGACCCATATCAAGGTTCTCGTGATTCCACAGTAACCCAAAAGCGAAAGATGTCCGGCGACACGCTGTAGACGTGCAAAGGTCTCGTGCATGCCCAACAGGATAGAGACGAAGGATAGTATCGAGTAATCGTTGGAAAAGTACACTCTTAGCACTGCTGATGATCGGGAAGTAATTCCCAGCCAGTAATTCGTAAAACTGGATCAGCAGAGTCGTTCTCCCCTTAAGAGAGTTCCAACGTCCAAAGACCTGGTTCATGAAGACTGAGTTCGCAGTGACACCGAGAAGTTGACTACTCTGGATTGTTCCATCCAGCAGTCCCATGCAGAGAGCCACTGAGCCTTGGCAATGGGCTACCACATAGGGCTTCTGTCGCTCTTTGTTGCGAATGAATGATATTGCAGCAGCAACGTCAAGACGGCAGTCGTAGACAGTGCTTTTCTGGGCAACGGCAGGATCACAGCCCCAACGAGGAGTGAGTGCGTAGCATCGCTGTCCACGCTGCGTGAAGTACTCAACCATGTTGCAGTGCAAGAATGGCAGTGAGTACAAATTGTGTATCATGCCGACCCCGGTGACTCCGGGTAAAAGCAGTACTGGTGAAAGGTTGGAGATGGGTCCCGGCTCGCCTGTCTTTTGTACAGGAATTGGGTCATATATATCAAGATTTACCTGTACGCCATCTCTTGCGGTGATGTTGCAGGAGGTGGAAGGTGGTTGTTTCGAGTTGGCGGCTTTTTTTGAGATCTGAGGGAAGCGCAGGTGGACGAAAGGGCGAAAGAAGAAGAGACTGATATGGTACATAAAAGAAACTAAAAAGCCCATCAAGGTCAAGATAAGACTGATCTGGAAGTCTTTTGTCGTCCGGAACGTTCTCATCTGCTTTTTGAAGTCTAGCAATGAGATATGAACGGCCCCTTCTGCAACGTCCTTCCCGTCCGGTCGAGTGATATTGACGTTCACCGTAGTTGTCGCTTCCCAGGTCTTTCTGGCAGAGAATGCTATGTTCGAGTTAATGATCTTTTGACCTTCCAGGCGGTACTCTATGCCCTCTACTGAGAGGAGCTTCAGGTGGTATGAAATAGCTGATGATTCGGCATTCTCTTGCATTGGCGTGAAAAAGTCGACAGTCCCATCGACAATCTTGAGCGTGGCTCTAGATAATCCGTAGCAAGAAATCGTCCCGGTACATATTCCTTGGTATTGTAAATCTGTACCGTAAGCATTCTACTATTAGAGGGCTCTCTCAGCTTCTTACCTCCTCGTCGGCAGATTTCGATCGTAAGAAACATCCGGATCGCGCAGGATGAGCCTTTTCCTATCCTCTCAGAAAGTGCGAAACTTCCGGTCAGAGACCCCATGCTGATGTGACCGTACATGGTCTCTGTAAATTGCCATCCTATGGACTGGGGTGTTTCCTTGGTACTGTTCTGATGATCTTGACAATCCAATGATATACTCGGCTTGCTGTAGGCGTTCAAAGGCTGGTTTTTAGTCTCAAGATCAATTGACAACCCAGCCCTCTCAGTGGTCAAACTGACGGATCGCTCGGAAAGGGCAGATATTGTGGCCAGCGGGTTCACACCTGTCAGAATCAGCACATAGCAAGCCATAAAATCTTTCATGTCAACATACCTAGAGCTGTCGGGATAACAGATGCATCACAGCACATAAGGCCCTTGTATACTTCACTGTTAGAGCCACTGAAAACCTCCCCCAGATGATTTGTTACACCCCCATGTCCTGTCCCATCGTTGCTCATGTTGGCTCCTCCAAGGAGATGGACTGTGACTTCCTCCTGGTGGCGACCTTTGGCTATGTTTAGCGTAGCTTTGTGGTAGCTGCTATCGATCCTCACCATATGGATATGAAAACCCCATTCTTGCTCCTGTGTGAGCAAAAAGCTCCTTGAACATCTTCTTCATCCATTTGAAATGCTCGGATCGTCCTTCTGCTGGTCCCCGAAGGCACAATTGATCATCCTTCAAGGTCAATGTTATCTCGTTGCTGTCATGAGACATCACAAGATAAGTAGAAGTCCGCTGTAGAGCTCCATTGTATGCATGTGGACCAAAAAGGAGAGACTTTACAGAGGCAAGGACCTTCCTGGTTTCTTGGCGAGGGTTCCAAAGACAACATCCCGCCTGGCTCTTCATGGTCTGCAGTGTGAGCATGATTTGGATTACTGGGTTGAACGCCTCAGGGATGCAACCATCCTGGATAACATATCCAGAGAGCGGATTGTCCAGAGGATCAACGACTCGGTTATCAATGACAGCAGTGACGGTTGTTCCAGGGGGAGCATGCGAAGATTCACGGGCGATCCCGTTGATATTGGTACCTCCATTGTAACCTTGAACATGTAAATCAAATGTGCTCGGTTTTATATTCTGGAGACATACGTACCAAATATCAAAAGGTCACCGTTCCCAGATAGGTTTCTTCCAACGAGCGGTGACATATGAAGGCCGTGCTGCTTTGACCGAAGCAAGACTCCAGTAGTTCCTAGAGCACCAGCCCCAAGGAAACAGAATTCTTTCTGTGATTGAAGTAGACAGAGTGAGCTGAGACATCCAACTCTGCAGGATGTATTCGGTACTTACTGCTTTAACCCAAAATAGCTGTTCCTTGAAATGATCCGCAAACACCGACCTTCCACTTCCATGCCAGGCGAAGTGTATAGTGTAGCCTCCTCCGTCCGTCTTTTCTACAAATCGAACTTCACATCCGCAGAATATCTCGGCTCCCCAATTCCAGGCATCTGCAAGATAAGTTGTCGCCACCGAGTTTTTTGAACCGTCGTTGAGGCCAGTGCACTCATGGCCCGATTGTCTATTTGCCTGCATAGGGACACCTGCACTGTTGCGGCCATTGCGGAAAAATATGGTCAACGGTACTCGATAGAAATTCTCTTTGCCTCCAAGCCATTTTGACTCTTTTTGAAGATGATCGAGTTTATTCGGGGTTGAATTCTTCGGATATGTGGAAGGTTGCAGCATTGTTTCCGCGCGTGAGTAGTCTGCATTGGTTCTAGGTTATGAATTGTCCTCCGCCATATGCATATATAACTCACATTCGTCGAGAGTAGTTGGCTCGTCCCTGATCTCTGATGGCCATGGACTCATCTGCAGTGTTCTTTTATCCGCTTTCAGGAAAACTCCGGCATTGACCAATGAAGATCCTCCAAGTCCTATGATTCCAAGCAAAAAGCTGTCAGATTTTCCATAAATTCCAGGGGCATGTTGGGTCTCACGTACCATGAGCAGCAAACGAATGTTGTCCATCACCCAAAAACACCTGAAAAAGCCGCGTGGGGTCCCCAGTCGACAGCCACTTTAGCCACTTTGAGATGAAGGAGTCCTTTGTAGTATTCCCCGAGATCCTCATTTCTTTCAGACATTGAGAAAATGTATGTGGAAATGAGCCAGCTATGGAAATGTTAGCGATGGTATTTTTCTCGAAGTGTCTCAATCCGTACATCTTCTTTCCCAGCCAAGCTCTAGCACTGCGACGCTCTTCCCTGCTCGAGCCGTTCGACTTGCCGCCACTCCAGCACCATAGCCAGATCCTATAATCACGACATCATACTCTGGTCTCATTGATCTGAATGAACGACTCAGATTCGGGTAATTGTCCGTTTTGTCCGTGAAGTTTGGCATTGTTTCCTGCTCTGTGTACTATATGTATATTTAGAGGGGCACACAGAAAGTAAGACAAGGGACATCTAGGTTCCCGTGAGGAATACTTAGCTCGATATCAGCCCATAGGCACTGGGGCCTATCAAGGAAGCAAGGGTTGACACGTATTTCTGCAGGCAGGTAGAAATCGGTAGGACTTACCTATGTAGGTATGTTCTCCGGACTGCATAGTCACATCCGGATTCGGTATGGATGAACCCTAACTCTGCATTGGCACCCGAAGACCACTGGTTATCGTCATTATTTCCAACTCCAGAAGAGGCAACCTAATTGTAGATCTGGACAAGCCCTTGTTCAAATACGAGCATGTTGCAGTACATATTCTCACCAAGTAGTAACTACACTCCGCTTAACTATATATGTAGTTAGTTAGTTACTCGGTTGTCAGCAGGCATTACCAAAGTATATGTCTCTTACTATTCTATTTCCTATTTTATCTTGCCTGCCATTGCAAAAGGGCCATCATATCTGATCACAGTCGAAGACGTTATGCTAGTATTCCTAAGTGGAGTTGCCTTGAAACAGCGACACTAAGATATTACTAAGGCGAACGGTGGCCAATAAGACCTCGGAATTGATCACGGACGAACAACTTGTGTCTTCAACCTCAACATACCTATAGCCCAGCAGCTGGAGCAATGCGCAATGTGCGCTGATCGTTCAAAGCCAGTGACATTGCAAAGATCATGCCAAGCCTGCATCAAAGGCAAGCGGCGATGTGACCAAGGCTGGCCCAGATGCAGCAGGTGTCTGGGCAAAGACATCAACTGTGAATATGTGAATGCACCTCTTACAGTACAATCTACTCGAAGGCCATCTGCTGGGCGGTATGTGGGCGCTAAGCGCTCAATTCCCAACACGACTCCAACGCCACAAATACATGCACCCCTACGGCTGGAAATCGCGAAAGAATATGATCCGAATATCATTCGATTTCTCGTTGCCGGCTTGCGGGATTTACCAGTCAAATTCGCAGAAAACTGGAAGACGCTTTTCATTCACCCTGACCTTTATACGAATGGCCTGCCAACCCCTGTTCGTGAGATCCACAATATTTGCAGACTTCATATGCAAACCGGGCAAACAGATCGCATGAGCGTTACTCCGTTATCAATGCTCCGGCAAAACTCAGCAGACCTCCGTCGCCGACTAAGCCATGCTGCGACATTCGAAGAGCTACTTGGATGCAGTCAAGCTTTGGTGTTGAATCAATGTATGTTGGTTCTCGATGAATATGGCAATACATATCCATATTCAGAGGCGATCAGTGTTATGCTGGCCGGAGTAGCTGGAAAGCTGTGGCAACAAGCGCCTATTCAACTTCCGCGAGCTCTCAGTCCTCGATATGCTTGGCTTCTTGCTGAGAGTGTTCGGCGGACGATTATTGTCTGTTTCATTTTGCGGAGTGCTTACTCGTTGTATACGAGGAACTATTCAGTTCGGACACCGTTCATAGACTCTTTGCCGTTTGATTTACGGACGAATTTGTGGGATGAGAATTCTGAGATAGCGTGGCAAGATGCGCTCTCGGATTCCGGTGGTTCCATGGTTTCATTACATGAGTGGTCTGATAGATTGGCTGCGGGTCGTGTTCATGATGTCTCTTGTTTTAGTGGGTTGATATTGGCGGCTTGCAAAGGGCAAGCCGTTTCCTCGATTCCGTCTCCGCCTGTGCACTCTTATATTGACAGCTGAGAATGAAGACGACGTACGTGAGTCCCATATTCAAAAAAATAAATCTAACCTTTGCATGCGTCTCAAATCTCAAAGCTCCAACTCTACCTCAAAAACTGCTTCAACAACCCAGAAAGCAACTCCGTCATGTCTCGATACAACTCCTGCCTCTTGACCTCGAACGCGTTGTAAATATCCCTCGCAGACCCGACAGGGATTTGATCCGCGCCCTCTGAAATCCGAGCCCAAACCTCATCAACAAATTCCTGCAGCGGCATCCCAATCAAATGACCATCCTTCAAATCAGGCTGATGCTTAGTATCATGAAGCTCAGTCTGCACAGCCGGAGGATAAATCTCCAAAACATTAACATCCCCGGGACCATCCTGCAGCTGAGTGCGGAGGGCAAGGATGAAATGGTGCAGAGCAGCCTTGGAAGCGCCGTAATTCGGGCATCGCATCATGGGCACGAGCGCCATTTGCGACGTCGTGAATGCGATGGCGGTTGCAGTCTTCTGGCTCTGCAAGTGTGGGAGGAATGCTTTGGCTATGCGGACCGCGGACGTATAGTTCGTGATCAGTTCTTGGTCGAAGATGTCCAGGTCGACGGTTTCCGGCTTGGAGAAATCGAAGGGTCGTTGGATACCCGAGTTGACGAAAATGCAATCCAGATCGGGGTTCTCGGAAATGATCTCTGAGGCAAATCGCGGGATCTTTGGTTTCATTGTTAGTTGGGGGCCATATCTCGCTTTGCTGGGCGACCTTACCTGCTCGAGCTGCGTAACGTCAAATGCCTTTGCAGAGCTCTTGTCGCTGCCATATTGCTGGACGATCTCATCGAGTTTCTCCTTTCTGCGACCGGCCACAATTAGCTTCGATTCATTTTGGACGACTTTGTCGGCTAGTGTTCTGCCAATCCCGGAGGTGGCGCCGATGATCAGGACTTTTTTGTATCCAAAAGCCATTGTGGGACTGGGTCAAGCTGTGACAAAAAGAAGATTTTTCTATGATGCGAGAGACAATCTTTAGTGTTTCTGTGGTTTTTTCCAGGCAGAAATACTCCCATTTATAGCCTCCTGGTTCGCCTTCGCATCGCATCCAACATCTTGACAACTATGCCATGGAAGCTCTGCGGAGACTAAACCCAAAGTGGACAAACCTGATTCGACCTCGGGATCTGATTGGCGTACAGTGTAAGCTTCATGCCACTGGTGGAGGTTAAACCAAATGCAGTAACGAGCGTGAAGAATTTATATTTTTTTCATCGTTGGAAATGTTCATGTTCGATCTGTTTCTAACCTGGTGTTTGAATACAGGACTGATTAATAAACATCGCAATTGATTTGAAATCACTCTAGACTAGCGGGGCCAACAGTTCCAAATTGTTTCGACGTTGTTGATTTCTATGTGCTAGTGGTTCGATTGCCACAGTCGTTTCGGCTACTTGGATGTACCATACCAGAAAAGTCAATTGACATAGATAGACATTCATGTGTTCATTATATTGGGCTCATTGGTAACCCCACTGGTCATACTCAAACATTTACAAGCATAACCAGTCCATTAAATATCAAGGATCAATGGCCACAATCTCCTTCTCCTCGACCATAGCCTTGACAACGGGCCTCCTCCGCACCACAGCCCTCGGTACCGGCTTGATCTGCTCCAGGCTCCCCCTGCAACGGCCGCAGAACTGTCGATTTGGGTCAACACTCTTCGAGTGTCGCCCGACCTTGAAATCGCAACCCTGGACCTTGCAGGCCCAGATGTATTTGTGGTTGATCTCATAGGTATGCTTGGTTGTGACTTCGACCCGGCCCCCGTAAATAGGGTGGCCTTCTAGTGCGCGGACGCATCGGGCACCCCATTGCTTGAAGCTGGCACCGTGCTGCGCCGCACCCTTGGCCCTGTTTTCAGTGACCATGATATCGAGGAGGTGGCAGTACTCGTGTGTCAGAGTACAGAGGATCTTGTCCTCAGTGTCCAGGACTTTCTCGGAGAGCTCAATGGTGGCACAGTAACGCCGTTTCCCGGGTTCTTCCATGCCGGCTGCTCCTTTCAGGAGCGCCTCTGAACGTACGGTCGCCCGGCCGGCGGTGTTTCTAAAGTTCTTTGTCCAGATGATTTTTATGCCGCCGGTTTCCTCGGTCATACGACTAATCTGGTCATTGAAGGCATTGTCAAGGTGTCGCAGGAACTCTTCGGCAAAGCCGATCTTCTTTTGATTGAATTCAGCCAGTTGGGCTCGAATCTCGCGTTTCCGCGCTGCCTCGGCCTTTTTCTGGGCCTTTATAGTGGTGGGAATACCCATACCTAGTGAGCTATCAACCGATGTGATAGAGCGATTGAGAGAAAAGTGAGGATTCGCACGCGAGGGTGTCACTGGTGGTAAGTGTGATCGGCTTGAGTAGGGTTTTGATGGTAGTTCAGTCTCTGATTCTGAGCTGTGAGAAGTAGTCAGTACAATTACTGGTGCGGGACCATGAGTGCACATGAATGCGCACTGTAGAACTTACTTGGACTGTTCTGGCTGTGTTTGTGATGTAGACTCATTGTCGCTGTCCAGACCAAGATCCTCAAGGTGTTGGATAAGGTCGTTGGAGTCGTGGAGGCCAAAATGAGGAGGATAGCTTGAATCAAGCTGTGACTTAGGTGTTTCTGCCCTACGGGTAGGGGATGTGGATTTGATACTGCTTGCCGGATCTGGTGTGCAGTCTTCAAGTGCCGGGGCGACTGCTTTTGATTTCTCAATTGATCGGTCCAGCTCTGTCTCCAACTTCGTCGCTTCCATTGTTGGCTCCTCATCTGCAGTAGTGTTTGATTCTGCTTCTGATATTGGTCTTCTTCCACGCATGAGTCTTTTCCTTGGTGACCTGACAGGCGAGGGAGCCGGGCTAGGTTCGTCTTCTGTGTCGGCTGTCTCAGAATCCGATGTCTCAAAGAAGCTAGGCTCGTCATTGTCGCTGACAATGAACCCATCCAGTGAGTCAGAGCTATCTTCTTCTTCAAAGCTGACTTCCTGCTCCTCTTGCTCTTCTTGCCGGTCAATCACTGGCTGTGTCGTGGCAACATAATCCATCCTGTTTCTTGTGGGTGCCTGTGAGGCATTTGGCCTTGTTGGTGTTGAATCTGGAGTTCGGTATCCATCTGTGGCGTATTCCGGCACGTCATTCTCCTTGTCATAATCTTCAGTCTCCCTTCGGATGGCTGGACGTGGTATCCGCTTTGCTGGTAGGAGTAACGAGTTCACACGTGCGAGTCCTAGTGTTCGTTGCTTTTGTTGTTTTCCGGTGGACCTGTGCTGTCCAAATTCACTTTCCGATGTCGAATCACTGTCGGGAAATATTTCAAATGATCCACTTGAACAATTTGCTTGCCGTCGCGACTGGCTTTCCGGCTTGGTGAGCATATTGTGCTTGGCTGTGTTTCTGAAATTGAGACATGACTCTCTGGACAGTGGGCTGTTATGGGATGTTCTTAGGGTACGTGCAACAGTGTCTTTGTGAGGTGTGTGTTTGACGAGCGGGTTGGCTGTGTTGAGCCTTGCCATGGTCGCGATTTTGCCCTAATGGCAATGTTACCCTATGAGTGATGATGACAATCTCTATAGGTTATATAAAACACTATGCTTGCACTGACCAGGTCGGTGCTGGAGGCCGGGGATTTTCGTTGTTCTTTTAAGGTTGGTCCCATGTTGCTCTGGCTGTTGAGCTGTCAACGGATGCGTTGGCACGGCAACGTGAGCAACGAACAAGTATATGTGCCACTCAATTATAGGTGAATATGTAAGCTTACAGGTTGTAACCTAGGCTGTTGTTGTGAAAGGTTCACAATTTGTTGTGTTTTGAGCCAGCACTAAATGTGAGAGAATAAATAGTGCAATAGCGAGCAGCCCTACCCGTCAACCTCTAGGGCTGCCCAGATGAGGTCCAGGTTAGAATAATTCGGGAATACACTATTCAAGATTGCAGTAGGTCTATCATATGGAATCTATTGGTTCATTGATATGTTATTAATTATACATGGTGGTCCTGCCGAATTTATTATGCCATCTACAACACTCTAGGGCTCTAACACCCTTAATAAGTTGTTTTCAACATGATATTGTGCTTGCCCTAATAATCTGCACTTGTTTTATACATACAGCTACTTTTTTGAAAAATATTTATTGCTATGCGAAAAGAAAGAAAAATATGATTCTCGTTTATTGTGGCTATATATCATCTACGACTGTAATGGCATATATATACATCGACACAAAGACACCTAACAAATAATATACAACACAAACTATTGGTCCATTTAAATATGAAGACTCCTACATATGCTGGTCTAAAAAAAATACGTTCCGTATCATGAGACTAGGGACAGTAGCTATAGCTTAAACTTGCAATGGATGAAGCTGTACTTATTCCGTATAGAATCGATAATGTATAAAAATAGGTATATATGCCTTCTGCCCATTCATATTTAAAGCCTAATAAGCACTGATAATGGTAATACTAGTCACAGCAGGGCCTAGGGCTCTAAACTTGGACATTTAATAGAATCTATTTAGGTAATATCCAACGCCATACAAAGACGGGTAAGTGTCGACTACCCTTTATGCATATAAAGTCCCACCAGCGATCCTAGATGAGTGAAAACCAATTCTTAGAGCCACAACTGGGCAGTAAACAATGACACTAGGGAATCCATAGTCTGTAGATAACACCATTTGCGGGTACACATACGCAGCAAGAAGAGAGGGAGGGAAAAGGAAAAACAAAAGACCTAAGCCAACTGCAGCTATATGGCGCCCTATCATAACCAGCACAAAGCACACGCAAAGACCGGAGGCTGTCCAATGCCAGGAGCGGAGCTCAAACACCGTTCCGCCGCACCTCCTTGCTACAGGTACCGTTCCTGGCGAGGGAGCTGCACAGCCTCACTCGGAATGGATGAACTTCCGAGTTACACTCATCCCAAATATAGAATCTACATTTTACGGCGTGGCTGCAGTGGAGGTTGGACCAATGGACCTCAGATCGATACTTGGTACTCGGGACGTTGATCAGGGCCATTCCATCTCTATGCCGATGAAGATCAACATCCCCTTGCATCCCCTTGCCTCCCAGCAGATAGTGGATATTGCGTGCTTTGCTCGTTGCGTAAATCTGGAATCTGATCTGAGCATATAGACTAGAGAGCTGGACATAATCTACGATCTGCGATATTCAGTGACAGTATCGACTCGCGACCGTACTGTTGCTGCGCAAAGCCTTACTAGGGGCTCGGTCTTCAGAGTACTTCAGAAGGATGTGCCAGGTAGAGGGCCAAATAGGTCAGTCCGAAGAGCTTCCTACTTGTAGGATGTCGTCTAGATTGAACAGTGTAGAAGCAAAGATATATCCAATTCACAATGTGCAATTGCTCACGAAGAACTAAATACATGAAATACATGTGCGTGAATCAGCATTCTTACGTATCTAGCCCTTCCTACGGGTTATTCGACTTCATAAAGTCGACCCCGGAGCCACGGTCACATGTGTGGTTTTACTGTGACCTCGTTCTTATGGCGTAGTATCGGTGTCAGTAGAAGTGCGTCTTCCGCGTCGCTAGCCATCACATGGGTTAATCAAAAAGGAACTTGCGGCCCATCCGTTTCCGGCCTTACTCGGTGATCGACCCTTCTGGGTGCTGACTTGCGAGTTGGCGAAGTCTGCTCCGAGTGGATTGTGATTGGTCCGTTCCGAGGCACTTCTGGGCAGGATTTCACCTGGGCAGCTCCGCAAATCATCCACGTCACATGTCGGTGGAACGGCGAAGTAGGCTGATCGCACATGGTACTTTCAGCTCGGCTAGTAAACAGCCAAAATGGGAACCTCCTCCCTTCTCTTTTTTTTTATAGACTATTCGTATGAGTCTCGTATTATGGCAACAACAACAACAACAACAGAAGAGCTCTCAGTCGAGCACAAAACGTCCACCCTCTTGCCCAGCTTGCAGCACCAGCAACAGCAGCCATCACATGCGGCAACCGCGGAACGAATAACTGAGCCTCTTCACATTCAACCTGCCCCTTCAACGGAAGCCAAATATCCAACAGGCTCTAAGTTTTGGTGCACTGTCTTTGCACTATGTGTGGTTATGATTCTAGGAGGCCTAGATGCCAACATTGTCGCTACAGCTGTACCGAGCATCACCAACCACTTCCACACCGTTGCTGATGTGGGATGGTACTCATCTGCATTTCGACTCTGCACCTGCGCATTCCAATTCGGGTTTGCGAAGCTGTATAAACATTTCTCGATCAAGAGCATCTTCTTATTAAGCAATGTCATTTTCCTCGTCGGCTCCTTACTTTGCGCTACAGCTGCTTCGTCAACTATGTTCATTGTAGGGAGAGCGGTGACGGGTCTAGGGTTCTCGGGGGGCTTGGCTGGGTGTTTTGCCGTCATAACGCATATTCTACCGCTCAACAAGCGGCCAGCATTTGCGGGTTTGATGGCGTGTGTGGAATCGCTTGCAATAATTTCGGCCCCTATAGTAGGTGGTGCATTGACGCAGTCTTTAGGATGGAGGTGGTGCTTCTGGTAATCTAACACAGACACGATCAAGGTAGCTTACGACTGACCTTTTCGCAGGATCAACCTCCCTATTGGTGGTGTGTCGCTGGCGACCCTAATTTTGCTTTTCTCAGATCCGAGAACGAGTGAAGAGGACGACCTCACATTCGCTCAAAAAATCACAGAGATCGATATCGTCAGCAATTTCTTATTCATCCCATCTTTAACATCACTCTTCCTTGCCCTATCTTGGGCTGGAACAAAATATCCTTGGTCAGATGGGAAAGTGATTGTATTATTCGTCGTTTTTGGTGTTCTACTCGCCACTTTTTTCTTCAATCAGTACCGACGCGGAGACTCGGCAGCACTCCCTTTCCGTATTATTAAGAACCGAAATGTTATTGCCGGTTTCATCTTCACAGCGTGTACTAACTCGATGACGAACGTCTTGGAGTGGTACTTACCAACATACTATCAAGTCGTTCGATCTCAGGTATTATTTCTTGGCCAGTTTTTGATCGCAGTACACTCATTGGCAGTTCTCAATCTTCTAGACCCCAAGCGAGAGCGGCTACCTGATGATCCCTATCCTTGTTGGAATGATGCTCGGCCTCTTTCTTCAGGGTATCGGCACCACGACGTTCGGCTACTACGCCCCCTTCATGGTCTTCGCTTCCGTGTGTATGCCAGTTGCCGCGGGCTTGATGACAACATATGATCTGCACTCGTCCCTAGCGAAGATCATCTTATATTCCGGATTTGTAGGCTTCAGTGGAGGCATCGGCTTCCAAGGCCCACAGGCGGCTATGCAGACGACGTTGAGTACCGCGGATGTTAACGTTGGGGTCGGAGTGATCTTGTTCGGGCAGAGCATGGGCCCGGCCGTGTTTATCGCTATTGCACAGGTGATATTCACGAATAAATTGTCGTCAACTTTGGAAAATGTTATACCTGGTTTGTCGCCTGCTTATATCGGACAACATGGACTTGGCGATATTAAGACCGGGGTTCCTGCGCAGCGTTTGGATGAGGTTTTGAGAGGTATCGATCAGAGCTTGACGCATACTTGGTACCTCCCTGTCGCCTTGGCTTGCACAACAATGGTGGGGAGCCTTTTGATCGAGTGGCGCTCGGTCAAACAGAAGCAGATGTGAAGGAAAGGCACGAAACAAAAGTTCGGATATTAGAGTTTGCAGATGTCCCTGTCTTTCTCAGTGAATATGGTGCTCGGTCGAACCATATTAGACCTTGGACTCTCGTATATACTCTTATGAGACTATGTCCCTTATTGCATACTACAAGACATGACCCTGGTTATGCTTCTTGCTTTATACAAGAAAGCTTCTTGTACCACGAAGCGGACATATGTTGTGAGTGAAATTGGGATTAATGATTTACATGAACCATGTCATAAAGATACAACATTGTACTACATATGCAATATCTGCTAGGGAGGAAAAACGCATGTCATATATGTGGAATGGCGGTTGCTGGTTTGAACCCCGTGGCCTTGGCCATGATAATACGTACATATTGATTCAACTACTCCATATGTTGTACATATACGATGTACAGATCATGTTGTGCGGCAAGCCTTTTTAAATAGAAACTCTTATAATAATATTGGCATACCACCACTCGGGCCCTTTCGGTGTCTTGTATATGGACACAACTACGACCTCAAAATAGGGGTTGTGATTGGCTCCTGACCATAATACCGATAGACGGTGGAGGGCCCCGGGGGTCACAGCCCCCTGATTATGTACTTAATTTGTAATTTGAATCCGAGCTCAAGGTCTCCTATTAGATACGCCTTAATCTACTCCGTACGGTGAGCTCCAGATCAAAATCCTTCCGCGGGGAGCCGGTGCTGACTTTGGGTGTAAAACGTGCTATTCAGGGGCTGGAGCCAAAAATAATCATTGAAGAGCTTGTATGGGGATCTAGAAACACCAATACCAGCAGCCATCGACGCCACTGGCTCCCCTAGATGCAAGTAAGCCATTTTTAAATACGGAGTACATAGAAGGGGTACTCCGTATGCTGCCTTCATAAATAATTATGACCATTTGCTTAATATTCAGCCACATTTCACGGCCGTTGTGCTAGTGTACAAGAGTAGTGTATGAAGTATTAAGGTGGCGGAATGAATACGCAGCAATCAGTACAATAAATGTGCGACACTAGGGCACGCCTGCCGGCTAGTGATCGCTGACTAGGCCTTTTAAGACCAATTCTCTCGACAGGTTATTTTTGGCGCATTGCATTTTATAGTAAGTATAATATACTCTGTACAACGATCGCCATCGACCTCTTGGGATGCCAGCCTGTAACTGATGATAGTGGCAATAACCAAGGCCCTAGTAAGGTTGATAGACAGTGGAAATCCACAGGGGAAAGCCACAGGGGAAAACGAAGATCAGATGTCGAAGACCGGTTTTCTTTATGCAGCTGATGTATCCTTCCTGTGCAATCCTGCATCCGCCAGTATAATGGTGTACAAGGTACGGAGCGCAAGTATTCTGTTGCAAACTAATAATGCTGCAGTCCGAGATGCAAGTATATATTGTAACCGCTACAAGGTGCCACGGCATACCCGATAAGCACTTTTTTGATTGTGCTGCACTGGCCTCGCTATTCAATAGTGTAAGCAGGCCTCTTGGTCGAGGCTCTGAAAGAATTAAGAAAAACGCAATCGGTGATCCACTTAGTGGGTGGACAAGATGAAATCCCCTAACGGGTGGAGATCCTTTCGAATACAAAGTTACTAGCTCTGTATGTATACATATACAGTATCAGCCGGCGTATTCAGATACACCTATACACAGGTCAAGTTGCCTTGAATACTTAATGGTCGGAGTTGATATGGTGTAATAAATGATATCTATAAGGACATATATTGTGCGAGGTTAATGTCTGGATAAACCACCTTAATTTGATACAGGCCCAGAGAAAAAGATAAATTTAGACAAGTGACGATCGAGTTTTCCAACGGTATTTAGCGAGTTTAGCTTGGGGTTGTGGAAGACCAAACAAGCCTAAAAAGGACCGCACTTTCAGGTTTTCTCGTGGTACGGGTGTCCACTGTGCGATACATTCCACCACGGAGTACTCCGTACTCCATACATGTATGGAGGGCTTGCCAGCCACAGTGAGAAGAGTCGGTAGTGAAATGTAATACACATGGAACTGATCGACTTCATCTGAGACACTTGTATTGCGGTGGCAAATCAGCCGCTAAAACACTAAAACAGAGTAAAAAAGTTTGTGATGGATTCAAGGCTACGATGAAAGGAGCAATTAGAATTGAAGATCGTGGAGATCGAAGAACAATAACCTTGGAATATATAAAAATTATATAAAGAACATGGTAGAGTGTGGAAAGCAAAAGACCTTCGTGGGTGGTTCTTGTCGCTTGGGAGCCATGGAACAGGAGCTGGTCCAACCGTCCACAGATCTGAGCTCAAATATTAATTTTCATTAGCATCGAATCATATCTAAGTACATCTGGAATGTAAACTATCATTTGGTTCAAATTACAGTGGTTTCTCATGAGTTGATACAGGTCACATATTCCAAATTAGAGACACTGACTCACCACATAAGCAGATAGACAGGCATTGGAGTGTACGTACCATCGCACATTGTAGGAAACCCCAAAAGTGTGAGAGCCAAGTCTAGAAATGTATACACAGTACGGAGTAACCAGGAATGAAAATCAGCGCTGGTGCAACGCCATCCCTACATACCAAGTGGTGGCCATAACAAGGCTGTCGAATCAACGGCCATCTCTGCAAGAGCAGTTCCATAGCCCGGTATCTCTGAAAATAGCCCCCGGCCACATTATTTGTTACCTGATTACATGCTGGCTGGTTACCGGTGGGGCAAGTTTCAGGGGCCGTCGAGACTCCCTTGGATTCCGAGTGTCCGTGGGAGACTATCATTGGATGGAGAAAGGGGAGATTGGACTTGAAAGTTGAAAGTGATCGGGGGAAACACAAGCGTAAATACAGTCGGACAATAACGGTAATTCAAAATGGACGATCAGGGAGAGACATTATGACAGAGGCGTTCGGAGAATACAAGGTTGGGAGAGAGGAGGGAAATTCAATGAGCTAAAACTTATTGCGCCACGTATGGTAAACAAAGGGGTGGTAATCAGTACCTGGGAAAGATAGGGGCTAACCATACAGGGAAAAGGTATCCAGTACTTGGAAGTCTGACACGTACCCTTTATAGGTGTAAGATGACGGTAAATTGTTCTGGAGACAACAGAGCGAGGCCCCCCCAATCCCAAAAATAACAAGCATTTTCTTGTCTTCCCTCCAACCCCCTTCCATTCGCTTTTTGTCTCCATCTTTCCTTCTATTTGCTACCTTTCGTGTTCTTTCTTTTTTGACGAAAGAAGGATAGGAGGGAGGTTGCTTTTACTCTTAAAGTATTCCCATTGCACCTTCCTTTTCGTGAGACAGGGAAACCCTCACTTGTCATTCGTTACAGAGTCTGAGACTCGTTCGACACCTTCACTTGGGTTCTCAAGATAACGCATTTCTTTCCTGCGCATCGTGCTTTCATCTTTCTACGTCCATGCTGCATTAATTCGACGTCCCGAACCCCAAAAAATAATAGTTTGAATGGTTACGATTGAGGTGAGATTGGCTTGAAGCTGTTGGCATTATCGCTGAGCCTTGGGCATCTAGAGCTAACTGTACCCGCAGAGGTCCTAACAATATATCGATCGCGACTCGCTCGTCATGTCGGGCTATGCAGGCGGAGGCCACTATGACGATGGCTATGCCCAGCAGGGGCAGGCACATCATGGTCATGGTGACTCCTACTATCAGGACGAACATGCCCAGGGTTATTACGACAACCAAGGATATGGTGATGGCTACTATGACCAAGGGTATGAGCACTCCTGGCCGGAGAGAAGGTCGAGTAATGGAAGGGCTGACAGGGAGAATAGTAATGGCTACTACGGAGCAGACGGTGGTCATGGCGACCCCCATGCGGATGCAGGCCACGGATACGCCGACGGAGGATATTACGAAGCCGGACACCAAGACCAGTATTACGGCGCCGGCGGCGATCAGTACTACGACCAGGGACACGGGGAACCCCGAGGCCGTCGTGGCCACGATTCTGAGGAGGATTCCGAGACCTTCAGCGATTTCACAATGAGGTCCGAGACTGCTCGTGCTGCCGACATGGACTACTATGGCCGTGGAGACGAACGTTACAATAGCTACTCGGACAGCCAGTACGGCGGCCGCGGTGGCTACCGTCCTCCGTCCTCCCAAATCTCCTATGGAGCCAACCGATCGTCTGGCGCTTCCACTCCTGTCTACGGAACGGACTACGGCAACGCTCTCCCCGCCGGCCAGCGTTCGCGTGAGCCTTACCCTGCCTGGACCTCGGACGCCCAGATCCCTCTCTCGAAGGAGGAGCTAGAGGATATCTTCCTGGATTTGGTCAACAAGTTTGGCTTCCAGAGAGACAGCATGCGAAACATGTATGACCACATGATGACTATGTTGGACTCTCGTGCCTCGCGTATGACGCCGAATCAGGCACTGCTCTCCATCCATGCCGACTACATCGGTGGCCACAACGCCAATTACCGCCGGTGGTATTTCGCCGCCCATCTCGATCTTGATGATGCGGTCGGTTTCGCCAACATGAAGCTCGGTAAGGCCGATCGCAAGACCCGGAAAGCCCGCAGGGCTGCAGCCAAGGCCGCCAAACAGAACCCCGAGAACGAAGAGGAAACGCTCGAGGCCTTGGAAGGGGACAACAGTTTGGAAGCAGCGGAATACCGGTGGAAATCTCGCATGAACCGCATGTCCCAGCATGACCGGGCCCGTCAAATTGCCCTGTATCTTTTGATCTGGGGCGAAGCCAACCAGGTCCGATTCCTGCCGGAGTGCATCTGTTTCATCTTCAAGTGTGCCGACGATTACTATACTTCACCAGAATGTCAGGCGCGCGTTGAACCGGTGGAGGAGTTCACCTACCTGAATGAGATCATTACTCCTCTGTACCAGTACTGCCGGGACCAGGGATATGAAATCATGGACGGCAAGTACGTTCGTCGTGAGCATGACCACAACAAAATCATTGGCTATGATGATATGAACCAGCTGTTCTGGTACCC